GCCCATGGCCAAGGGAACCTCAATGGGTGCCCATGGGCCAAGGGAACCTCAATGGGTGCCCATGGCCAAGGGAACCTCAATGGGTTCCAGCCACCCCATAACGGGATTCTCTGCTGGCTTGTAGTAGGGTTGTGCTCAGCCCCAGCACCCTTGGGTGCTTGTCCTGTTGGGTGCCCATGGGCCAAGGGAACCTCCATGGGTGCCCATGGGCCAAGGGAACCTCAATGGGTGCCCATGGCCAAGGGAACCTCCATGGGTGCCAGGGGTTCAGTCACCCAATAAGTGGATTCTCTGCTGGCTCGTAGCGGGGTTGTGCTCAGTCCCAGCACCATTGGGTGCCCATGGGCCAAGCGAACCTCCATGGGTGGCCATGGCCAAGGGAACCTCCATGGGTGCCCATGGGGCAAGGGAACCTCCATGGGTGCCCATGGCCAAGAGAACCTCCATGGGTGCCTACAGGCCCAAGGGAACCTCAATGGGTTCCAGCCACCCCATAAAGGGCTTCTCTGCTGGCTCGTAGTGGGGTTGTGCTTGACCACCCTCCCCCTTCCCCAGCACCCTTGGGTGCCCATGGGCCAAGTAAAGCTTGCTGGGTACCAGGGGCTCAGCAAGAGGATTCTCTGCTGGCCATTCCCTGCCCCAGCACCCTTGGGTGCTCATAGGCCAAAGAAACCTCAATGGGTGCCAGCCACCCATTAAGGGGATTCTCTGCTGGCTCGTAGTGGGGTTGTGCTCACCCCCAGCACCCTTGGGTGCTCATAGGCCAAAGAAACCTCAATGGGTGCCCATGGGCCAAGAGAACCTCAATGGGGTCCAGCCACCCCGTAAGGGGATTCTCTGCTGGCTCGTAGCAGGGTTGGGCTCAGCCCCAGCACCCTTGGGTGCTTGTCCTGTTGGGTGCCCATGGGCCAGGTGAACCTCAATGGGTGCCAGGGCTTCAGTCACCCCATAAGGGGATTCTCTGCTGGCTCGTAGTGGGGTTGTGCTTAGTCATTCCCCCATCTCAGCACCCTTGGGTGCCCATGGGCCAAGAGAACCTCAATGGGTTCCAGCCACCCCGTAAGGGGATTCTCTGCTGTCTCGTAGTGGGGTTGTGCTCACCCTCCCCCCACCCCGCCCCAGCACCCTTGGGTGCTCACGGTGCCGTCTGCGCCCAGCTTGAGGCAGGAGCCGAAGTCTCCCAGGCGGATGTGGCCCGCACGGTCCAGGAGGATGTTGTCGGGTTTGATGTCCCTGCGGGAGCCATTGGTGCTGCTGGCCCTTGTCCCTGTGCCACCCAGTGCCACTTGTCCCCTTGTCCCCATGACCCTGGTGTTCCCTGCTCCCCACCCCAGTGTTTCCAGTGTCCCCAATCCCAGTTTGTGACGTCCCCAAGTGCCACCCACTCCAGTGTCCCCAATGTCCCTTGTGCCTCTCCCATGCCCTTCTCCATGTCCTTGTGTCCGCCCACATCCTTTGTGTCCCCTTCCACGTCCTTTGTGTCCCCTCCTGCCCCTATATCCTCCATGTCCATCAAGACCCCATGTCCATCATGACCCGATGTCCATCATGTCCCCTATGTCCCTCCACATCCCTCTTCTCCCCATGTCTGTGTCCCTCACGTCCATTGTGTCCCCATGTCCCCATCACGTCCCTCCCATATCCATCATGTCCCCCATGTCCCTCTTCTCCCCATGTCTGTGTCCCTCACGTCCATTGTGTCCCCATGTCCCCCCATATCCACCACGTCCCCCATGTCCCTCTTCTCCCCATGTCTATCGTGTCCCTCACATCCATTGTGTCCCCATCATGTCCCTCCCATATCCATCATGTCCCCCATGTCCCTCTTTTCCCCATGTCTGTGTCCCTCACATCCATTGTGTCCCCATCATCTCCCTCCCATACCCATCATGTCCCCCATGTCCCTCTTCTCCCTATGTCTATCATGTCCCTCATGTCCATTGTGTCCCCATGTCCCCATCACATCCCTCCCATATCCATCATGTCCCCCCATGTCCCTCTTCTCCCTATATCTGTGTCCCTCACGTCCCTTGTGTCCCCATGTCCCCATCACGTCCCTCCCATAACCATCATGTCCCCCATGTCCCTCTTCTCCCTATGTCTATCATGTCCCTCATGTCCATTGTGTCCCCATGTCCCCATCACGTCCCTCCCATATCCATCATGTCCCCCATGCCCATCATAACCTCCCATCTCCATGTCCATGGTGTCCCCCGCGTGTCCCCATTTGTCACCTGTGCACGTAGCCCAGGCGGTGGATGGAGTCGATGGCCATGATGAGCTCGGCCAGGTAGAAACGGGCCATGTCGAGGGGCAGCCGGTCCCCAAATTTGCTGAGCAGGGTGAGCAGGTCACCCCCCACGTAGTACTCCATGACCAGGTACTGCGGGGACACGGGGACATGGCCACGGCTTGCGGGGCCACGGGGACGTGGCCATGGCCTGGGGTCATGGCCCTGGGGGAGGGGCCACAGGGGACACGACCATGGAGTGGTGACAGAGGACACGAAGGACATGGCCATGGCTTGAGGACACAGGGGACAAGACCATAGAGTAGTGGCAGATGACATGAAGGACATGTCCTTGGCATGGGGACAAAGGGGACAAGACCATGGAGTGGTGGCAGAGGACACATTGGGACATGTCCTTGGCATGGGGACACAGGGGACACAACCATGGAGTGGTGGCAGAAGACACAAAGGACATGTCCTTGGCATGGGGACACAAGGGACAAGACCATAGAGTGGTGGCAGAGGACATGAAGGACATGTCCTTAGCATGGGGACACAGGGGACATGACCATGGCGTGGTGGCAGAGGACATGAAGGACACATCCTTAGCATGGGGACACAGGGGACATGACCATAGAGTGGTGGCAGAGGACACAAAGGACATGGCCATGGCTTGAGGACACAAGAGACAAGACCATGGTTGGGACACAGGCATGGCTAAGGGCGCTCTGGGGACACCCAGGGGTGCCCGGGGTCCTCAGGAGCGCCCAGGGGGACGCGGGCAGCGCGGTGGCACCCATGGGTGCTGGGCGCTCACCAAGAAGTGCTCGTCCTGGAAGGCGAAGTGGAGCTGGGTGATCCAGCGCTTGTCCCCGTTCACCAGCACGTCCCGCTCCTCCCGGAAGCAGGACACCTGCAGGGGACAGACACGGTGGCACCGGGGTGGCACCGGTCACCTGGGGTCGGCACCGGCCGCCCAGATTTCTCTGGGTCCCCCTTGGGCACCCGGGTCAGCTAAGGTCACCCCGGTGGTCACCCAACACCCAGAGCAGCACCCGGGTCATGCCAGGACATCTGGGACACCTGGGACGTCACCAGGGCCCTGGGTCACCCATGGGCAGCCAAGGACACCCAGGTCATACTTGGGCACCAGGTGACACTGGGGA